CCCCTTGCCTTTGCACAATGCCATGGTAAACTTTTCCCCCCCATTGCCTTCCACAATGCCATGATCTAAAATCGAACTCTTTATTTAAACTTCCGATCCCTTGCCATCCACTATGCCATAATCTAAAATCTAACTCTTTGTTTAAACTTCCCCCCCTTGCCTTCCACTATGCCATGATCAAAAACCTAACTCTTTATTTAAACTTCCACCCCCTTGCCTTCCACAATGCCCCTTGCCTTCCACAATGCCATGATCTAAATTCTAAGTCTTTATTTAAACTTCCCCCGCCTTCCACAATGCCATGATCTAAATTCGAAGTCTTTATTTAAACTTCCCCCCCTTGCCTTCCACAATGCCATGATCTAAAATCGAATTCTTTATTTAAACTTCCCCCCCCTTGCCTTCCACAATGCCATGATCTAAAATCGAACTCTTTATTTAAACTTCTCTTCCCTTGCCATCCACTATGCCATAATCTAAAATCTAACTCTTTATTTCCTACCAGTCATGTACATCAGCTACATCATTTACATCATCTTAAACAGCCGTTGTTACACAGGAGTTAGGGCACCGAAGTTGTCGCACAGAAGTTCTTACATAAAAGAGCCCTCTGGGAAGGGCTTGGACGGGCTTCCAGGGGGCTGGACGGGGGCTTCAGAAGGGCTTGAAGGAGGCTTGCGGGGCTTGAGACCCGTTCAAGGTGGCTTCAAGGGGGCTTGAGAAGGGCTTCAAGGGGGCTTGAGAAGGGCTTGAATGTGGCTTGCTTGAAGGGGGCTTCAAGGGGGCTTGAGAAGGGCTTCAAGGGGGCTTCAAGGGGGCTTGAGAAGGGCTTGAAGGGGGCTTCAAGGTGAAGGGGGCTTGAAAAGGGGGCTTGAGAAGGGGGCTTGAGAAGGGCTTCAAGGGGGCTTCAAGGGGGCTTCAAGCCCTTCTCACCTTCGTGCCCCCCCCCCTCCGGGAAGGGACCCTTCAAGCCCCCCTTGAAGGGTACCTTCGAAGGTGGTGGCTCGGATCCAGCTCCGAGGTGATCAAGGGTCACTCTTTCAAACTGAAGGAACCTCTCCAGTATGATGTTGAATCTCTTTTTCCTCTTTTGGCAGGCGTCAGGCCACAGGACTTTCCAGAACCACGTCTTGAGACGCCACAGACAGAACAGGCCTTACCCCCACCTGATTTTCCACCAGAGTTGGATCCACCAGTTTTCCCAAGGGATGAGGTGTCTCCACAGCCCATTGCAGATGGAGCTGATGGCATGGATGTAGATGCAGGTGAGGTAGGTGGAGGTCCTGAGCCCATGACGATCGACAGGGTCGATGAGGGTTCAAAAGGGGAAGGATCTGAGGAGGAAGAAGGGGACGCGTGGTTGAACAACCTTATTCTTCAAACGCAAGCTGATGTGTGGAACACTTTTTGTTTGAGAGAGTCTGGTTGTTTTTTCCCTATTAATAATCCATCCACATTTATAGTCATACATGGATCTCTTCAAAGTAAAGGGTTCACATATAGGTATATGGCGTGACCACAGATGAAACTCTGGCATACATTCTGACTGTTGAATCAAAACATGTATAAACATGCATATGTACCCAAAACGGGGAAAGCACACATACATATATATATATATACATATGTATATCTATAAACATACATATCTCACGCCGCGCTATTGTCGGGTTACGTCGTCGTTGCGCCATGAACTTCACACCAGAATTCAAAATTCACAAATGACATCACTGCGTTTCGTTTGTTTAACATGAACCATTGTAAAGCTCTGATCTTTTCTCACGAAGCAGATTGGGGAATTCGATTGGACATAGTTTTATGTCCAAGGTTTCATCCATTTGAAATCATCCATTGATGTTTCTGATTGGTGGACATCCCACCATGTGATTTGATCCAAACGTTGGATCTTCCCCCCAAACATTGGAACTTCCCAACCACAAAATTGGGGAAGAAAAGGGGTGGGAAACGAAGTTGGGAGGGAAAATTGAAAATTCTACACCCACAATTTTGTGAGCTTCCCGCCCACCCACCACATGCTTGAAGGGAAATGTCACACGAAATGAATCTCATTGGTTTGTTATTTTTTTTTGCAACATGCACTGTGAGTGAAACATTGAACAACGTGTTCATGAGACATGTTTGACAGTTTCTTTTTTTTTTGGAACACACATTTTTTTTTGAAGAGACGCTCTTTCATCGCTGTCCATTAAACTATAAACAAATATCAGCAAGCTGACATGAAGCTTATAGTCATACATGGATCTCTTCAAAGTAAAGGGTTCACATATAGGTATATGGCGTGACCACAGATGAAACTCTGGCATACATTCTGACTGTTGAATCAAAACATGTATAAACATGCATATGTACCCAAAACGGGGAAAGCACACATACATATATATATATACATATGTATATCTATAAACATACATATCTCACGCCGCGCTATTGTCGGGTTACGTCGTCGTTGCGCCATGAACTTCACACCAGAATTCAAAATTCACAAATGACATCACTGCGTTTCGTTTGTTTAACATGAACCATTGTAAAGCTCTGATCTTTTCTCACGAAGCAGATTGGGGAATTCGATTGGACATAGTTTTATGTCCAAGGTTTCATCCATTTGAAATCATCCATTGATGTTTCTGATTGGTGGACATCCCACCATGTGATTTGATCCAAACGTTGGATCTTCCCCTTTCCGCTTCAGTTCCACGCTACAAAAGATTCAAGAGGTTTGCCGGTGATGGGGCAAACTGCTTTTGAAATTTCAAGCTCATTGAGAAAAGTCAGTTCTTTCAAAGAAAAGCTGCTGGGTGCATCGGCTGGATTTGACTTAGAGGTAACGCGCGCCATCCAAAGCATTGCATCAATTTGTTCATCCAAAGTTTCAAAAATCAAAAGAAGATCTCTCCATTCAGCAATGGGTGAATTTCCTTTGACGAGCACGTCGAGGACCGGCCAGCTGTCAGTGAAGCAAATGACACGTTGACCTTTGAGGATGCTTGCCCAAGTCTTAAAAGCAGTGACGAGCGCGTACAGCTCCACCAATCCTACAACATGCGTTTTGCCATCAACTTGCCACAGGTCCAGTGTGTCATTTGTGACCTTTGTTCCAAAAACGAAATTGGTATTGTTGGGGCACATGAGAACAGCTCCAATGCCTGCAATGGGTCTGCCCCGTTCGTCATATTCCAAAGCGCCGTCGGTGAACAGCAAGAAGGGTTTGGTTCTGGGACTGATGCCAATTGTTCTCGGTTTTCCATCTCTCAGTTTTTCAAAAAGGAGCATCGACGCGTCAAGGCTTCTGTTGTCCAGCACGGCTACTTTGTCTCCAGATTTTTCATGGCGTCTGAGCTCAGACAAGGCAAGACGTCCCGATCTTCCCCAAAGCTGTCCTTCGCAAATTGAAGCTTACCAAGAGTAGTCGGCAACTCCTTGACTACCACTTTCTTCTGTTTCAAGATTCGCTCCAAAATTTCACAAAGCTCGCTCGTTCGTGAAGCTTTGTTTCTCACTTTGATCGTGCCAGTTTTCACCGCCGACAAGTCGAGTTCGACTCCCAGCATTTCAGTTTTGTCTTTGAAAGGTTGCAACTTGTCTTTGCTGTATTGAAAACCCAAAATATCAAAAAGGCTGAGGGCCGTTGTCATGGTGCTGGATTCGTGCATTGCATGGCTGAGCAGCACAAAGTCGTCAAAGAAAGCTGACCAAAGTAATCCCATGTACCTGCCCACTGCTTGCAGGAAGGTGCTCACACGCAAGAAATGATGGACGCTTGCTGCAGCTCCGAAGGGGAGCACTTTCATAACAAAACATTCAACACATTTTTTGTCAGGATTCCAAATGGTCACCACTGAATCCTTGTAGTTGTCTTCATTCAGTGGAAGTTGTTTGTATGCCGACTTGAGGTCGATGCAGGAAGTTTTGAAGTTCGGTTCAACGCTTTTCCAGGCTGGGTGAACCTCGGCGCACAAATGTTCTCCTGAGCTGAGTGTGAAATCCAAACGTCCATCAAACAGCAGAAACTTCAGGACTGTGAAGAGGGACCACAAAGTGTGGTCCATGGTCCTCAACTTCAACCGCTCGGAGCTGGCAAATGTTTTGTTCACATGGTTTTCCTTGAAATCGTCGATAGGACGAAGCTTGTCCTTTTGCAGCACGCCGAATCTTGGAACGGGCAACCAATCGCTGCCCATGTTGTCATCGATCTGGCTGGGTTGAAGAGGTCCTTCAAGCCAGTTTTTCTCTCCAGCTTCTTCCAGTGTAGTGTCATACAGTTGCTGTTGCAGCTCGTTGCCGTCACTAAGTTTTGCTCTTCCAATTATCATGGGCCTGAGGTACTTGGTTCTGTCTCGCAACTGTTGTGGAGAAATCTCAGCCAGCGTGATGCCTTGTTTGAAAATGCCCGACTCTGTAACAGGTCCCACTATTTTGAACCCTTCCGCCAGTTCATCAAATAGAGCAAGGTCAGGCCATTTCATGTCAATTGCAATGGACCTCATGAGTAAAATGCGCTTTGGTGCCATGATTTTTGCCACGTTGGGATTCATGTTGGACTTCAATTGAGTCTCCAGATTGCTCAGCGCTTTTGCACGCCTTGCCCAGTCCGTCAAGATAGCGATGCGTCCTCTCGTCACTGCATCAGGGGCTTGGCTGAGATGTTGAAATATCACACGCACCAAATCGCCAGGTAAGTTTCTTAGCTCATCATATGGATGCCACAGTTGTCTGGCAATTTGTGTAAAGGCCTCAAAAGATCTGTAGATAGATACCAAAAACGCACAAAGTTGACCCCTTCTTAGCTTCAGTTCGTAATAGTTTGCTTCCAATAGGGATGTCTTGTAGGGGTTTGGTCAGGCAGCCTTTGTGGTCAACAGGAGGCAGGTGTTTCACCTGAATGATTTTTGTGCAGCTGTACTCTGGGACCAGCTGAGGAAGTTTGCGCCCCTTCGGTTGTTGGTAAAGGGAAAGTTTTTGAACTTCCATGGCAGTCTGTTGACTTGGCTGAATGTTCCGCTGCTTGCACAGTTCATGAAAAATTTCTGCATATTTGAGACACATGGCTCTGGGGTATTCAGCCTCAAGAGCTGTGCTGAATTGTCCGTCCTCCGCAATACCCCAGGGTTGATGTTCATGTTGGCCATCACAGTACAGCTCGAGCTTGCTGAACTCACGGTGACTGCATAAAAACGATGTGAGCTTTTTCCTGGACGAACCATATGCGCAAGCATGCATGTTAACGAAAAACCCATTGGCAACAGCCCAAGTAAAATATTCAAGGTCCCACATCAGAGAATTTGTTGGATTTTCGATTGTCCAAGGGATACCAGCCTGTTGGAGTTTCTGAACGTATTCACCGCAAAATTTGTAAATTTGATTGACCAGAAAAACTCGTTGTTGATCGCGCTGATTCAGTGTGGGGAGTCCCAAGGGGTACTCTGTGGAACGCAAAGGCTGCGGTCCTTGAGAACCGTCTGCAAGTGGTATGCCTCGGGCCCTTGAACAAGTCCCGCAAGGGGGTGCCATATGCACGCCAGCTACTAAAAACCTTTCCAATAAGAAATCCAGCATGTCCCACGCATGTTGATGCGACAAATCCAACTGAACCAATTTGCAGCATGGAGAGTGGCGATTCTTGTCATGATCGACCGCCACAATGTTGTATCCAAATTGTTTGACAGCGTCTGAAAGTTTTGCGCTGCCTGCACATAATTCCACAAAAACGGGTGTTCTGGATCCCTCAGGGATCTGTAAAACATTCAACAAGCCAGCAAAAACGTCGCTCTGCTCACAGTTTTGACTCTGCAAAGGATCCGTGGCTGGCTCTTCTACATGTTCGCAAAAACTTGAATTCTGTCGAGTTGCCTCCATCTCGATGTCGATCTGTTGATCTCCTAGTCACTCCCGCTTTGCGCGAGAACATTCAACTGCTGGGTGCTGTCCATGGCAACCTTTGACCGCACAAGCATGGAGGCCCTTTGAACACCTTTGTTTGTCCACAGTGTTGTTGCATGTTTTCAAGTTGTATGAAAAGCATAGTCTGTGTCCCTTTGGTGTCGCAGCCACTGATCCCAACACAAGCAGTTCTTTGGGAATGCGCACAAACGAATCGACATTCCCTTGAGGCTTTCCAAAACCCTTGCCACGTGACTTTCCAGCACCCTTGAACCTTTTGTTGGGTCTTTCGCCTTCTGGATGAGCTTCAGCTGGTCTGGGTCCTGCACTGCTACCTCCAGGTCGTGGTTGTAACAACGACATCACCTCTGAACTTTCCATGCACTCTTTGAAGACATCGTCAACTGGGCGTCCTTTGGCGTTGCACTTGATGCCCTCCCTCGTCTTTTCACTGATGAGAAGAAACAGTTTTCTATCAGCGGGCTCCAGTTGTTTCATGGTGGTTTTGATGTAACTCGGTGGAGGCTCATCCAAACGTGATTGCATCATCTTCTCTGACCATGATTCCATGTTTTTGAAACTGACTACGTTGGCTTGTTCCAAGGCCAGCGCTCTCCGAGTCAAGCAATAACGAACCTGAATTTCTGTAGCAGTGCTGCAAGGCTCGACTCGAGACTGCTTGTGGAGCTTGAGGACACCTGTCGAGTCGAAGGTCAGGGTTTGGTCTTTCTTCGATCCTTGCAATATTTCATGTTCCCGGCTGGTGCAAACATCCCATGGTATGAATTGAATGCGGTCAGCATCATACATTGCTATGCATCGATCTACTAATGCATCTCCAGGCTCGTAGGGTCCTGAAATGTTGACACCTGACAGGCGCTGCTGTTGCAAACGCAAACGTTCTGCTCTTTCTGCTGTCTGCTGGAGCAAGCCTACGGGTTGGCATGTCATCCGTTGCCTCAACAGAGTTTTTGATGTCTGCAGCAACATTGGCATAGCTTTCGCTGAAAAGGCGTCTGACACATGACATCTCTACTGTTGAAGGTGCACGTTTCATTATCTCCTTTGCCAGCTGGATCAGGGGTGCCTCATCTGCACTTCCAGGTGAAAAATGGCATGCAAATGCAAATTTTGCCATGGTGTCCAGTCCATGATTGGTGATTTGTTCTATCACCTCTGACTCAAATCCAATCTCCTCGCATCGTCTTTTGAAGACCGCTTTGCTGTCACCATAGCTCATGCTGGGCAAAGGCAAGTGCTGCGACTACAGTTCAAAAGGATTGAGGGTCCCTTTATTGACAAGAAATTTTATCGGGAGGTTTCCATATTATCATTTGTGATTAAGGTGAATAGTTATTGAAAGAATTTCATCGCAGGAACTTCCTGAGTATTAACGTGCTCATGAAAACATGAACGAAACCTCATCGCAAGCTTGAGCATTGCGCTGGGAGGTTTTCACCATGAACTCAAACTTTGAGTTCCGTTTGTCTGATCGTTCAAACACTGTGTTGAACTACATCGATCACACACATTGGCACTGCAACTTGCGCATGCCATACATGTTCAATTTCACTGAATGGCAGTGGAACACCTCCCTGCCTTTTTTTTCCATACATGCTCGGTCAAGCTCAGGTGGCCCGATCTTTGAAGCAAAGTTGGCAAGCTGGATGGCAAAAGGAAGGTTTGGGCTCCAGCACATCGTATGATGCGGACATCTTCCTGCCGCAAACAAACTCCAGCCCAGCTTCGTCGGCCATGATGTGGATGCACCGGGAAATTCGGTGGCGCACAAAGACACTTTCTTCCGAAGGTAGCTCGGCTAAGGGTTGCCATTTTCCAAGCACCTTTTCGCAAGCCAAGTCTTCTCCTTCGGGAAGGATTCACTCAATTCTTCTTCTTCTGCAACTTCATAACCTGGTTCTCTGTTGGGAAAACGCCCCGATCTGGAGCAGTCAGGCAGAAAGGTTCGCTCCTTCACCGCTTGTATCATTTCACACATCTGACGCAGCGGCTCCGCCATGCTGTCCCTGGAGTAGCACAGCATGCTCTGCTCCTTGCTGCCTGCATGATATCCCAAGAGCTTTCGCTGGGAATGTGGCATTCCAAACTTTGCGCACATCGACAACAAGCTAGCCTTGAGGCTATGAGTCCCAATGGGAGTTCCCTGCTGTTCCCAGGTGCCCTGAAGGAGGCTGCGTAGCCAATTGGCCCCTGACGTAACTGTCAATGGAATTTTGGTCCAGGAACCGTTGGCAGTTGGTGAAGGCAAAAGAGGGATGAACTCCTCCTTGCTGTTGGAGGCATCTCCAAAGGCTTTCTTCCGCAGCTCCAACCACGTAGGCAGCCATTGCCTGGCACCGAATGCCATGAGAGGAACGGCAACTGGAAGGTGACGTGTTTTCCTTTCCAAGCTGACAGAGGTCTTGGTTTTGGCTGCCACTGCTTCCACAAAGCCAAAGCCATCAGGTTGTTGATCCAGCTTGAGTTGGCACACCTGTTGCCCATCGCTAAATCTGAGCCTGCCCATCAAAATGAAAAGAAAGAATCCGCCAGCCAGTCGATCGAATTCGGTCCTGCGACCATCCAAAACTATGTTTTCAAGGTGTTCAATCTGATCCACTGACAAGGGCGGCCTCTGTGTCAGCTTTCTTTTCTTGGAGTACATGGTGTTTGCCAAGCCACGAATGCGTCCAGAGCTCATGATGGACAGCGTCCCAGTGAGTCCAAAATGAAAATTTGTAAAACTCAACGCCAAGAGAAAGGACCTAGCATAGGTTGCAGCCTTTGTTTCACATGACTTGACGTAGTCATAAACCACTGGTTCAATCAATGGGAAGGCCTGCAACCCTCTGTCTTCACAAAACTGAATGTACTGCAAAATAGGCCCTGCCCTCGCATGAAGCGTCGATGAAGCCTTGGTGCCCAACGAGTCTTTCACCGACTCCAATAGGCCTCCACGCGCAAATTCCATGGTGTGACAAGTAGCCTGTTGTCTGGCAATGTCAAAAGCTCCAACCTGCCTCAAGATGATGCTAACCCATTTTTTGTAAGCACACTTGCGCTCCCATGACAATTTGTCTGACCACAAACGATCATCAGCATGTTTGGCAGCTTTGACTCCGATCTGTTTAAAAGAAAGGATCTCAGTTGCAACACACTCTGAGTGACATACCTTTGCAGTAACTGGCACGGGAGGCAATGGTCCATGCAAGTCAATCTTGTTGGTCCTGAGCCTTTTGCATGCGTCCCATGGAGTGTTCATCGCAAGCTCCCAAGGCATTTTGAAAGTTGAATTGTGATTTGCAGTCCAAATGTGTCTGATATGTTGTTCATAACATGAAGAGCTCACTGCAGGTGTAGTTGTGTCAAAACCCCCATTCCGCTTCAGCCTGTCTGTACCTGAGGTGGTCATGTCAAAGTTGCACAGGTGGATCAAGTACCAGGGTGTCTAAAAATGTGGACACCTGGAGTCGCCTGGCACGTGCTCGGCGCAAGATGATGTACTCTTCCTGATTGTCAGAGAGTTCAACCGCCCATCCAAAACAAGCGACACGCAAATGAGAAATGGAAATCAGGTCCAAAAATGCGTAAACCACCAGATTCTGTTCAAGACCACCCAATTGCCAGCAAATTGTGGGAATAACCCTGAGAGTTGACCAATTGTCCCACCTGACAAGGTCAAGGTTGTTGTGGACGTCCACAGGTTGCCAAGCAATGTGATATCGAATGACAGGGTCAAATGAGGGATCCATACAAGAGCCACGCGAAACACACTGTGAAGCCAATGCCAAAGCAAACACTACCCCAGCACAAAACCTTTGCAGTCCAAAAACGATGATGAATCTGAATTGCAGTCTGAAATGCCTCACAGCCTTTCTCAGTAATCGACGCGGCCCGAAATCGAGCTACCTTAAATTTGATAATTCTACACCCACAATTTTGTGAGCTTCCCGCCCACCCACCACATGCTTGAAGGGAAATGTCACACGAAATGAATCTCATTGGTTTGTTATTTTTTTTGCAACATGCACTGTGAGTGAAACATTGAACAACGTGTTCATGAGACATGTTTGACAGTTTCTGTTTTTTTTTGGAACACACATTTTTTTTGAAGAGACGCTCTTTCATCGCTGTCCATTAGACTATAAACAAATATCAGCAAGCTGACATGAAGCGTCACCAATATCCCAATTTAGTCTGTAATGACGTTGACTGCTCCCAGGGGTACCCTGGGTAGCGGTTACGTCAACACAGGCCTTTCAAAGGTACAACCATCCTACTTTTTAGTCAGGATACCCATAGCCCATGAAAGCCCTAGCCTTGGAATGTTTATTAGGCACTCTCATCACTGCGAATGCAGCTTTTGATCCCAGCAGTGCAGACGTAAGCCCTGCTGTCAGCTGCCCAAAGCTTTCGTAGAGCAGGATTTGGGGACAGGGTGTTCTGCCTGTTCAAGTCACACCAGCGAACCTGAAGCCTCTGCACGGCCATATATAACCTACTCCACGATAAGTGTGCAACACCGATTTCATGTAGGACCTTATTGCACAGGTATTTCCACCAGTAGTTGGAAGAGACATGTATGCAAGCGAAGTTGAGCCCAGCGTGGCAAATTGTCCGTGGAATTATTAAGACACTAGAGATCTCCGTTCCACAAGCAATCACCAAGCCAGTGCTGGACTTGCAAAAGCCTGTCCGTTCCTATTCTGTTGGCAATGCTGGTGCAGTTAACGACACTGAAAGTTCGGTAGTATTTCATGAAGTATAAAAGCTTTGTAGTTTCTGGGTCGTGGGCCCTGCCACTTGGCCCTTATTCCAGTTGACATCCACTCATCCATTGCTCCTAAGCAGGAGGCTTCTACCCTATGGCATGGTCGGAACCTTAAGATGCCCATTTCACCAACAGTAGTAACCTGGTATGAACTAACCATGGTAAGACCGGATCCTTTCAGTACACGCCCGCGCGAATTCTATAGAATTCCATTCCCCTGTCAATTTGTGAGGAAGACCAGTTGGTGCGATCTCCCATCGGCGAACGGCTGAGCCAAAAGTTTGGCGCAGCCAATTGCTTTCTTAATGGTGTCAAGTTGATGTGCCACAACAAACGTGTCAGTGCTTCGGCATCGTCATCAAACATGGAGATGCTTTGCCTTTGTTAATGCTCTTGTTAATCAATTGCGACCTATGCCAGATAGAGACACAATACCAATGTCCTACAGCGGAAGCTTTTCGTGCAGAATTTTTTCTCCCAGCGATTGCAACCATGCGGGACCACTGGAATAAATTGGTGGCTCACCCACTTCCTAAGTAAGGTAGAATAAGTCAACCTCATTTGTGCGGATGAGTTTTGATGCTATCCCTAACTGACGTAGACCCTATTCACAACTGTAAAGCCTGATCTTGTAGTCACCATACAGTCCCAGCAATTTAGTGGATTTATGCACCGGCACAGTCCAATATACCGTTACATCATCTATCACCAATCCCCCAAGTTAGTCTGTCATGAAGTGACAGCTCCCAGGGGTACCCTGGGTAGTGGTTACTTCACAGGCCACCCAAAGGTGCAACCTTGACCCTGCTTTTTAGTCAGGATACCCATGGCCCATGAGAGCCCAAGCATCGCAATAGTGATCAGGCACTACCAACGTATGCAGCTTTTGATCTCAACGGCGCAGATGTGAGCCCGGACCGCCAGCTGCCTGAAGCTTTCGCAGAGCAGGAGTTTGGGACCTGAGTCTCGACAAGATTTTGCTGTGCACTTTCTGTCCCGCCTCTCCACATCACACCAGTGAACATGAAGCCTTTGCACGGCTGTCTATAACCTGATCCACGCGAGGTGTACAATACCGATTTCATGCAGGGCTTTGTATCACAGACATTTCCAACAGCAGCTAGGAGAGATATGCATGCATATTAAGTTGATCCCAGTGCTGAAAACTGTCCGCGACATGATCAAGACACCTAGTATATTTTGTCCACGCGCAATCACAGAGCCGGTGTTGACTTGCCAAAGCCTCTCCGTTCCTGTTCTGTTGGAAAGGCTGGTGCAGTTAGCGAAACCTAAAGCTCGGTAGCGTTTCAGAAATTGTGACAGCTTTGTAGTTTTTGGGTTGTGAGCCCTGCCATCTGACCCCTATTTCAGTTGACATTCACTCAGCCATATTGCTCCGAAGCAGGGGACTTCTACCATCTGTATGGCCTGGAAGACCAGTTGGTGCAATCTCCCATCGGTAGAAACACAACACCAATGGCCTTCAGATGAAGCTGCTCGAGCAGAATTCAACTTTTGTTTTGGAACCATGCGGAACCCCTGGCATAAATTGTGGCTCACCAACTGATTCCCAGGTAAGGTATATAAGTCAACCTCATTTGAGCAGAGGAGTTTTCTTTGATGACAACCCCAACTGGCGTAGACCCTAGTCACAACTGTAAAGCCTGATCACTGCAGTCGCCATACAACCCATTGACATCCATTCACCCATTGGTCCTAAGCAAGGTGCTTTTATTCTTCATGTGGCAGGGACGGAACCTTAAGATTCCCATTTCAACAACGATTGCAACCATTTAAGGGTTAAGCATGGTAAGATCGGATCCTTTCAGTACATGCCTACACAACTTTATGAAATGACATTCACCTGTCAATCACTGCCCCATTGGCGTTAAGTTGTTTTGTCACAACAAAAGTGTTTGTGCCCCGACATTCACATCCAACATGAAGACGCTGTGCTTTGTTACTGAATTGTGACCTTCGTCAGTTAGTGACCCAGCACCCGGTCCGTCAGCTGCAGCCCATCGAGCAAAACTTCTTCTTCTGCAAATTGAAACCGGATGGAACCGCCGGAACAAGCGCTTTCACCATCCATATGGTATGGTCGAAACCTTAAGATGCCCAATTCACCAACGATGGTAACCATGTAGGGGTTAGGCATGGAAAATCAGATCCTTTCAGTACATGCCTGCAGAAATTCTATGAAACGATATCACCCGTGGACTTGTGATGAAGACCAGGCAGTGCAATCTCCCCTTAGCAAGCGGCAGAGATGGCGACTCAACACCAATGTCCATCAGCTGAAGCTCGTTGAGCCGAATTCCTCCGTGCGATGATTGACACCAGATGGGGCCACTGAAACAAGTTAGTTGCTCAGCCACTGACCCCGGAGCAAGGTAGAGTAGGTTGACCTATTTTGAGCAGGTGAGTCTTGATGATAACCTGAATTGGCGCAGGCCCTATTCATAACTGTCAGGCCTGACCACTGCAGACGCCATACAGTCCCAGCTATTCAGTGGACTTATGCACTGGCACAGTCCACTATACCGCTATATCATCAATACTTGCTTTTCTAACCATTTGATATTCCCAGAATGTAGCTGGTGCTGACGGCAGTTACTCCCAGGGGTACCCTGGGTAGTGACTCAAGTCACCCAGACCACACCAAACTACCACGACTATATATAACCTACTCCATGAGTAGATGGGACACATCGAGCTGACTGCCCACGACCAAATGACGACCACTGACCTCTGATAGTCAGGCGGCAAGATCGTCCATGGACTGATTTAGACTATCGAGACCTTTCCCAAATAGTAGTTGTCAAGTAAACCCAAACAAGATGTCTCCGCCTCCTTTGTCGTAGGATAGATCATCACGTGCTCTGCACTATAACCCAGCAGCTAGCTTTGCGTAACTACTCCCAGCTAGGCATGGTGCATAAGGAGTTTGTTCAGCTTGCCTCTTCGTCACCAGCCCCATGACAAATGAGGACACGAGGACCAGATGCCAACCGAACCCACCCGAGCCCAGTGAAAAGTATTGACACATTGGTGGAGACCTGTCGCTGGAACAGTTATAAATGCACGAACAGTCGCATGTCAGCCATCGATCGCCAGCCTGAGTTTGATTGAGGGCACATGTGCCCACATAGAACAATCCAGCTCTTGGGTTGTCCCTCATAAGATCGGTCCTTCATGCCAGCACAGTCGCATAAAGCGCTACATCAAACCTAACGCATGCCCTTCGATACATCAAGGTGCTGCCTCAATATATGAGTAGTTTAACATAAGCAGAGGAGTCCTTAGCAAAAGGCACACGTCTGCGTGCAGCTGCGTGCACTCTGTCTGGACTAGGAGCCGCGTGTACCGTCTTGCGTGCCAGTCCGTCGTCTTCAGTGCGCAACTTACGTGAGGAATTTCCCTTTATGTACGCCGACCCCCCTTCCCGCCTGTGCCGACTGTTCTCATTAATGTCCCCCCCGAACGGAGCG